GAACAAGCTTGGCAAGGCATCAGGGACCGCGGTTCGATCCCCCAGCACCACATGCCAGCCAGCCCCGCCCCCTGGTGGGCTGAGCTGGCCACACACACCCCTCTCTCTCTCTCTCTCAAATAAATAAAAAAAGTAAAAAAAAAAAAAAAAAAAAAGCAGGTGAGAATTCTAGATGTTGAAGTAGTCCTGAAAGTGGCAGTCTTCTAGGACACACATTTGTAGGTGCTGCTAAGACACAAGTATCCAAGAAGTATCACTCATAGTACCACCTAGGAAGAAAAGTCCGGCATCTTTTGCCAAAAGGAATCTTTCATCAAAAGGATTTTTGTTTTTAAAAAAAGATCATGATAAAGATTAGCCAGTAGCTAGGGGATCTTGCCACACCATTCCCAAAATTAAAACAAAACCGAGACAGTGATCATTTACTAACTACGAATAATCAGAGAAATTTTTTTTTTAAACATTTATTTGTGTGGGGGGGGCCAGCTCAGCCCACCAGGGGGCAGGGCTGGCTGGCATGTGGTGCTGGGGGATCCAACCGCGGTCCGTGTTTTGCCAAGCTTGTTCCAAGTAGGTGCTTTAGACCACTGAGCCATCTCACCAGCCCCAAGAGAAATTTTCTTTCAAACCCAAATATCACTGGGGGCCACGTACAAATATTAAGTGTATGTCACATACCTTATGGAACGTGCTGTCAACAGCCACAAGAGCTGCTGAGCTATGATGCTATGTGCTTACTATTTAATGACTAAAAGATGCCCTCTAGTCTTCGAAAGTGCACAAATTATAAATATGAAAAAAAATAAATAAAAAAATAAAGAATATGAACATTACCCAACAGTGCTTAAATCCACACTGATTTGTATCGTGTATACAAATTTGTATATTTTGATAGTGGTAAAATTCCATGTAACTGTTTCAGACAGTAAAATAAAAACCTTCTGAATTTCTGATAAAAACTATGGAACGACCCCTACTTCTACAAACATGCACACACGCACACCAAACTGTGTATAGGATTTCAGAGACACTGTGTATTTCCTGACGCCTGTTGACCCTGTTTAAAATAATCATAATTTTGACCTTGGGGATACTATTACACTGCAGTGCTATGAGTTTTCTTTTAATAGACAACTCAATTTAAGATTCTCAGTATTTTTTTAAAGAGGTAACATTTGTAGGTGCTGCTAAGACACAAGACTCCAGAAGTCTAAATGGAATAAAGAAAGGGTTTTAAGGCTTGGTCAAAAATATTCTAACAAGCAAAAATGAGAGGATTTTCGTAAAAGTAATCCGACAGCACACCGGATGAAGAAGGCTTAGATGGCGAGGACGCCGAAGCCAGGTTCAGGTATAAGTTCAGGGCTCTCTCATCACGGCCAAGTTGTGCATCTCCCCAGTCTCAGTCCTGAAGAATTCTCTCTAGTGAACAGCCCAACGTTACGAATCACCATGGCAATTCTGTCGATAGGGATTCAGGTTTTCACCACAGGCTGGTAAATAGGATCTGTGCCGTGGCACAAACAGGGTAGAGGGACAATGGAAGATCTGGCCAAGGGTGGGTGGGCTGGCACACTCAGGAGGCCCCCAGGAGAAAAGGGGTGATGACTGACTTGGGGAGGGGGCAGTGGGAGTACCGAGAATTGAACTGACAACCTTGGACTTGCCAGGCAGGAGCTGTGCCACTGAGCTACATGCCTGGCAAGACTAAGCAATAAGCAGGCTGAAAATATCCAAGGGAGACAGATGCTCCTGCCCTACCCAACAGGCCCAGACTATAGAGAACCATGGACTCAACAACTAATGTTTTGATAGTTTATTTTTTAAGAAAACTACTAATTAAATGTTATACCTACATTTAATGTGTATTTCATAGCCTCACAAAAGCTTACAGGTCTTATGTCCTTCATGGTACAAATACCAGAGAAGCAGCTACTTTTAGATGGAGCTAACAGCACACAATGTTCACTTCCCTCGATTATTCCTTATAAACAGAAGAGCTAGGACAACAAACACTCTGTGTCTGTTTACAGAGCATCACCCTTCTCCTGGATTTCCTTTTCTTTTTTTGGGAGGCGGGGTACAGGGATGCAGCTCGGACTTGTGATCCTCCTGTCTGTGCCACCCCAGCGCGGGAATCACAGGCGTGCACCATCAGGCCCCGGGTTCCACGGCCAGCACGCCATGTGGCACCGGGGATTAAACTCGGGACCTTGCAGGCGGCAGGCAGGCGCTTATGCCACCGAGCCATCTCCACAGCCCCCAGCCCTTGTATTTTCAACTGAGCAATTTTAATGTTTTTGTCTTAAATCCCCAAATATGTGACTTAATATTAATAGGTTGGGGTTTTTTTACTTAAATATTGGGCTTGATATTTTCATACTACCTTGAGACAGTTCAAATTGCGCAAAAGATATGTGCACAAAAGCAAATTTCTTGCAGTTCGCTCTGGCCATCTGAAAGTAGTCACGTGCGTCGTCTGGCTCCTGAATGCTGGAAGGAGAGATTACAGGGAGTCTTTTGTTTTTCTTGTTTTCTTTAAGGAATAGCATCCTAAACTTGGAAACTCTTCATTATCTATATCAATATCCAATATCTACTGTCCAAAAGATAACAGATATTGCTTTTTTCTGTATGAAATTACATACTAAGTTATTTTTTCCAATCTTTTTACGCACAGTCTAAAACATGTACTTTTTGGAAACATGTATATAGGAAAGGAAAGAAAGTTTACATTAATTCTTTGCTAATTAAAAGCAAAAATATTTGGTCTAAAAATATCAATTTAGCAACATGTTTTCGTCTTGCCTCTGCAATGCGGTTATACATTATGCAGTCTAGCTAGTTAAATGCAGTCAAAACGCTAACACTTACGCTTTTAATTCGGCAAATCTCACTTGAATCCGAGCAAAGCTCTCATTCTGGCCATATTTATCTGGAGGAAGTGCTTCAATTGCTTGACTGTAACGACCAATTAATTTATTTAGAAGCGCATCATTTAGAGGGACGCTATTTTTCTCTAGTTTGAGTAAGAAACTCAACCAGTCCTCCGGGTTGTTCGCCATCAGCATGATCTGGTTAACAGTTCCCGAGTTATCTGAATAAAGAGAACACCACGCATCATAGCAGAGACGGACACGAGCAACGGCAAGCCGGCCTGGCCCTTTAAGTTATCTAACATGAGCAGTACCTGGCAGCATCCACATACACAAACCCCACATGATATTTTTTTCTGGGAATGTAACAGTTTACAGTAGGAAACTCCATCAAGGATGTAATGCATCAAAAACTCAGAAACACTGCTCAAGTCTGAGTATAACTTTCTTTTTATAACTTTACCATTAAATGTTGTTTCTATGTACCTCAAACTTACTTCTAAATCCAAAGTAAACCAGCTGGGTCATTTTCTCCTGCCTCCAAATTGCCTGATTTCCTCCATGGCCCTGCTGATTTCCTGGCCCCATCAGCCCACAACTACCTCGGTCTAAATCTCCAGAATTTGTAGGACTTCTTGCACCTACCAGTTTCCTCCCTACGGAACTCTGATAGAAACAACTGAAATGATGCTTAGACAGATGTTTCATGCGGTGATATACTTTTTATTTTCTTGAATGCTGTTTTATTTAACAGATAACTTGGATGTCAGTCTCCCATTTCGGATACCTCAGCCATTACTAAACGTTAAACTCAGATTTCTAGAGAGCCTTTATCAATTTCAGTTGCCATCCACAAACCTTCTTTACTTTTGCAAACAAAATTACTGCTTCTACTTTCTATTCAAACAAAATACCTTCAGAATTCTGCTCTTGCACTTTCAATGTAACCTGGTCTGATCTCAATTTTCCAGTTTTCTCATTTCTCTAACAAATACAGTGTTGACTCAGTTCACAAACTTAATTCCTCTCACGATTCTGAGGAAAGGGCAGCAGCTATGTTCATCACCGGACGCGCAGATTGAGGAGAACGGAGACAAACTTGTACTAAATTGTTCATGAATGGAAGCACTTGTAAACCAAGGCACGACTGTTGGCCATGAAATGTCTTAACACGCTTTCACAAGCCTGGTATAGCGGCTCATGACTGTAACCCAACATCAAGGCAGGTCTGAGGCCAGCCTCAACTATACAGCCACATCCTGTCTCAAAAAACAAACCCACGTCTTTGCTACCCATAGTTTTGGAGGTGTGTTCCTTCACAGGCTTTCTAGTACTTCTTCCTTCCTCCAGTCTACAGAAAAAAAAAAACAAACCATCTGTATCTTTATTATGCTAATATGGACACGGGATAAGCAAGTGTTACAATGTAGCACAGGGAATACATAAATTCTCAGTACTTAATGTCTTACATCACAATTCTTAAAGTTGTGTTTAACATTTCCAGGGTACTGAGAACCAATGATATTTAAGCAAGTATTCAACTACCTTGGCATTCAGGCTTGTTGGTAAAAGACACAGGTGATGGTCTATTATGACTACGTGACCACAAAACTGTAATTTCCTACGTTGTTTCAAAGCAAATATCGCCTGCCACCAGGACTAGATTACAGATTCTTCTATTTATTTTTAATCTCTCAAAATACTTTAATGGTTACTACTGACATAACAAACATCCAAGAGTCACCACTCAAATGCCTCAGCCATCTGAGATGTAAGAAAGAATGGGCTTCTGAACTAGTAATTTTCGCAAGGCTAGCATGTGAAACCTTGGGCACTTTGACTCATTATCATTCAATAAATATTTACGCGCTTATGGTATGCTAGACAGGCACCATTCTAAGTTTTGGGGATAGAACACAGCAGGTTAAAACACCTGCCTTCATGAAGTTCACATTCTGGTGGCAAAGAAAGACAGTAACCAAACACATGAGCAGGTTATATGGAGAGTGATTAGTACTACAGCGAAGAATAAGAAGGCAGATAGAGGATACACTCACTCCAGTAGAAAGATACCCTGAGCAGGTAAGCTAGGAAAGGGCTTATTGAGATCACGTTTAAAAGATGAAGTGAAGGAGGCAAGCACGTGTGGGCAGACATCTGGGGACACTGTTCAAGGCAGGGGTCAAGGGCAAGGGTTTTGGAGTCTAAGTGGGTCTCACAGACCAAAGAGACATTAGGGAAGCTACGTGGCCGAACAGAGGGTTAGAGTGGATATGAAAAAGTCCAAAGGAGAAATAGGAAAATTCTTCAAATAAAAATAATTCAGTGTTTGATGTTAAATTTTTGTTGTTCTTTTTGCTTTGAAACAGGGTCTTGCTACATAGTTCAGACAGGCCTTGAACATCCTATGTAACCCAGGCTGGCCTCCAATTTGCAGCAACCCTCTGCCTCAGTCTCTCAAGCGCTAGGATTCCAGGTGTGCACTGCCATGCCCAGCTCTTAAGTAAAATTTATCTGTAACTTTATTAAGATTAGTGGTTTCCTTAGTACACCACAAAAAAAGGGGGAGGGGGAGGTATACCTACATAGCCAACAATATTGTAAGAGTTAAGAAAACTCCCTGTGAGCATGCTAATAAGTAAAGTTTCATGTTTCCAGAAGGCAGAAAATCATGGGCTATGTCCAAAGAGGTTAAATGACAAAGTGCACTAACACGGCCAAGTGCTAGATACAAGAAAGTTAGTTACATGTCCACCGACATTCAGGGCGTAGCATCTCCTTCTTTACCTTCGGGGAGACCAGCAGTTCTTATTTTGAAAAAGAGGCAAAGGAAAACTCACCTGTTGTATCAGCAGAGACTTTATTCAAGCTTAGTTCATCAGTGAGATCTTCGTTCTTGAATTTATTTTTAATATCTCTCACTTTGTTCATTATGGAGTCGATTGTCAGTTCTCTGCCACTTACATCTTCAGCTTCCATTTATAAGCTGCAACTGGCCTTTTAGAACCCAGAAGATAAAGTGTCGTTAAACAGACCTAAATACAGGGCTGTAACTAGAGAAGTGCCGGTGGAGCTCTGTGCAGAAAAACAACAGACACAGCTTCGTATGCTCAAGAAGGTTTCAAAAGGCCCACTGCACCTTTCCTTCCCAATGTAACTTCAGTTGTATAGAAGGAAGCTATTCTCTGGAACTCGCGGCACAACGCGGCTGCCCCACCCACCCCCTTACATTTTTTTTTTTCTTCTATGCATGGAATGATTTTTATTTCACCCTTTTCTAGAATTATTTTCTCGGGTCATCACAATGTTCATATATACACATATATATATCCTGGAGTTTTCACCCGGATTGTGGTAGCAACAGGTAAACAATCGTTTTGGTAATGTAAATAGTTTGTGGTCGGTAATAAGAGTAGTTTCCTAATTCACTTGCTTTATGTTAATAAATCTTCACTTTGAGAGTACTTTTAAAGCAGAGTAGGGACATCACATTGATAAACGAGATTCACAGGATTTGTCTCTGCGTCCATCCGTCTGGCGGAATCACGACCCGCTGTCTTAATCACGTTAATTACAGAATCGCGGAACTCCCGCAGTCCCGAGCGCTCGCCGTCCGCACAACGGCGCGGCCAGCTCGGACGAGCTTCCGCTCTCCTTCCTCGGGTCAGTCTCACCTCTGTGACTTTCCAACGCCAAGTCACTCGGGGTCACTGGAGGTTAACAACCAAAAGGCCGCACGGCGCGCGGCGAGACGTCACCCCGGCGGAGCGCTGCCCGAGCGCCGCCACCGCCGCCCGCCAGCTCTACCTAGCGGGGCGCGCAGGGCAGCCTCCGGGGCGCCCTCCCCGCAGAATTCCCATCGGGCCCGCGGCCGAGGCCCGTCCACACCCACCGCGGGCGTCGGGGCCGCGCTTCCCGCACCGCCCCTCCTCCAGCCGCTCAACCGCGCCCTCGGGCGCCCTCTCAGCTCGGAACGCCCGTCTCGCCCCAGCCCTCACCCACCCGGCCGCCAGAGCGCCAGACCTGAGGCCGTGACTGCGCCTCGGGGCGTCTGCAGCGACGAACGTACCTCCGCTGCCGCAGGAAAAAGAAGACAAACCGACCCGGAGCGTCCCTCCGCACACACGTTTGAATTTCCCCGCCGCTCTCGCCGCGGCCCCTCATTGGTAGCGGTCGGTCACGTGACAACGCCGGCCCTGATTGGCTCCCGGCGCAGCAAGGCCCGCCCCCGCGCGCCCGGCCAGCGGGCGCTGAGTGGGGCGGGTCCCGGGGGCTTGCAACTGGTGTCGCCGGCTTTGCAATGTCCGGATCCGCCCCGGGTCGGGACCGGACGGTGCACCGCAGGTCGCCTGCTCCTGCGCTCCTCCCCGCCAGGCGGGGTTCGAGGCGGGTTGCGGAAAGCGTTTTGCGCAGCTCCGCGGTGGGGCACCCGCCGCCGCGCTTCGCCCTTGAGCGTCAGTGCTCCTGCCCTTGCACCCCGCGAGGCTCCAAGCTCTGTCCGCAGGCGCGCAGCTCCCGTGCAGCCGGCTTGCGCCAGCACTGCGCAGCCGGGACCAGCGTCTCCCGCCTGCCGTTGCGGGCTTGGCGTCCTTGGATCGCGGGGTCGGGCCCCTGCGAGAGGAGCGGCGACTCTTGCGATGCGGGTGGACCCGGCCGGCTGCAGGGAGACCTGCGCTTGCCTCCCGCGGGCCAGCGGCGTCGCGTCACGCCCAAGTCCTCCTCTGCTGGGGCGCGTCTCTCTGCCCCAGCAGAGCCCCGGGATGTGCTGTGCCTGGTCGGCGAAAGGCCACCCTTGACTTGGAAGGAGTTCGCTGTGCCACGAGCTGTGGCCCCAGATTTCTTTGGGGCCTAATCGCAAAAGTTGGCCTATTTCCTAAATATGCTGTTGCTGGATAATCTGATTGTAACGTTTCGTCTGTGCATTCACCTTTTTTCTGAACGCCTGTAGGCCTGTATCAGTGAATACCATAGCTATGTGATGGTAGAGAAATGTATACTTCCAGCTGAGCATGCTTCTGAACTGCGTATGTACGTAGCCATTGCCTAGCTAGCAGGCCTACTTAAATATTTCAGAAGATGTGCACGCAGCCCCTAAGCATCCACCTAAATCTGCTTCTTAGGAAATGTTGCCTATAACTCATAATTTAGTTATTCCAATTCTTTAGGCCCACAGTCATTGGGTCATCTTCCCTGCCCCCACGTCTAGTTCATAAGCAGCTTGAGTGGGATCTTTCAGGAGATATTCCTGGCATGCTGGCCCTTCTCCCCTCCTCCCCTGTCACCTGAGTAGTCCAGGACACCTACCTGCCTTACCTGCTTCACTCTAGGGACCTCCTGGCTGGTCACCCTGCTTGCCCATTACTTCACCTCAGGTTATTCTTCAGCACAGGAGAATAATTATAAATCATGTTATTCTTGTGTTCATGGTCTAGCTCACATTGAAGTCTCGAAGTTCCCGCAAAGGTCTAGAGCTGTGTGCTTAATACGCTTCTAGCCCTCTGTGGCTGTTGAGGGTTTGAATGTATCTACAGTAATCAAAATGCTAAAGTGTTAAATTAATTCACCTTAATTAAATTTGAAAGCTGGCATATAGTGTAATTATTGACAAGGTTGGAGCGCTACTTAAGACCTCAGGTGTTGGTTATTCAGGATACATTAGTTAACAAATGACAAGAAAAACAGTATCCTGACCTCCTACTTTTTTTTTTTTTTCCTCCGTCCTAGATGCTTGCGTTCAAGTTAGCAATTTTAGATACAACTGAAACTCTTGTTAGGTCCAGCTGTGTAAGAAAGGCATGTTAACTAAATTCAAATTCTCTAACAAATGAATTTTATACACTTATTTTTTGTTTCTGTTATGCAAAAATTCTACATATGTAGAACTATATAACAAAATATTCTAGAAAAACTAAACAATATTGAAAAAATGTGTTAACAATTTATAAATATTACCCAAGAAACATTATTAGCAATCTCTGAAAAGTCATAATAAAAAATCTTGCAATAATAGAAAACCAAAAATGACAAATGTTACTGTTTTAAAAGTAAAATTTGGAAGGCATATATCTACAAAATCTTTTTTTTTTTTTTTTCAGAACCGGGAATTGAACTCAGGCCCTTGCACTTGCCAGGGAAACACTTATCCCATTGAGCCATCTCCCTGGCCCCATATCTACAAAATCTTGAGGCAGTTTTTAGCCCAATATCTAAGTAAATTATAGTGCTCACTCTGGCAGCACATATATTAAAATATTAAATAAATCATAGAATTTTTGAAGAAAAACATCTAGGTGCAAACAAGAATTCATTAAAAATGGATAAAATAGAATACACTAAATTCTCTTAATTTTTTATAAAGAACATATGTTCTAAACTTTAGCAAAGAGTGATTTATAAAAAAATGCTTTTTTAAGGGTGTGGCATGGAAGTTCCACACTTAATGTCAGGGGATTCTACAACTTGCACTCCTGTTCTCAAAAACCCACTTTGAGAGAGTTTAAGGAACCTTGGGGTGCACCCAGCAGAGCTCTGACTTTCATCTTTTTTACAACTAATGAAAGAAAAGAAAAAAAAAGTGACAATGAAGGTCCCAAGCTCCTCCAGCGACAAGAACAGCCGAGTTTGTCAGGAAAGCCAGCATGACGAAGTCCTCCAGCAGAACAGCCTCCCTAACAGCCTCTCAACAATCTCTCCAGTTCTGCCTCTGGTGTGACCTGCAACAACCCTCAGGTGGGCCTCCTGCACCCAGTACCACGCTAGTTCAATTCAGCTGGGTGTAACAAGTTGACCACCAGTTAGCAATCCACTACAAGTGTCTTTAAAAATATTATCAAAAGTATGGTGAATACCAACATCAAGGGACATCCAGTGCAAAGGGAAGCTTGTAAAAATAAAAATTGAAAGAAAAAGAAGAGGAAGAGGAGGAGGAGAAAGAAGAAGAAGAAGAAGAAGAAGAAGAAGAAGAAGAAGAAGAAGAAGAAGAAGAAGAAGAAGAAGAAGAAGAAGAAGAAGAAATTAGCCTGTGCCCCCACTTTATTCACCAAATCTACACTGTACAACTATACAACTTCTGGCTCCTTCCCAAAGTCAAAATGACCACGATGGGTAAGTGTTTTTTAATCAATTCAGGACCTTGAGGCAACCACAACAATGTAACTCAAGACACTCATAAGATGACATCCAGAACTGCTTCATAAAGCATCAACAACAATGGATGAGTGTGTGAGTGGTGGGTATTTGAGCAAGATTAATAGCAAAGTGTCTTCTATTTGAATAAATATTTTTAAAATTTTAGTGTTCATTCATTTTTCAATCATAACTTGTCTACACATTTAAAAGGCACAACTTGATAGGGTGTATTTTGTTTTGTTTTGGTTTGGTTTTTTTGGAACCAGGGATTGAACTCAGGCCTTTGTGCTTGCCAGGGAAGTGCTTATTCTACTGAGCCATCTCCCTGGCCCCTACTTGATAGGTTTTGATATAGGTGTACATACATGAAGCTAATAAAATAATCAAGGCACTGAACATATTCACTGCTCCTTCAAAATTTTCCTGTGCCAGTTTGTTTTATCCATTCCTATATATTGCTCTCCCTAGAGCTGCTGTTAATTTAAGCTGTCAGTTTATATTGATTTGCATCTCCTTTAATATTACATAATGTAATGTAACATAATCAGAAGCACACAATAAATACTCATCTTCGCCAGCCCTTCTCACTCAGTATTTTTATTTTGAGATTTATTCATGATGCCCCTTGTATCAGAAGTCCATTTCATTGCTTAGCAGTAGCCCAATTTATTATAAATAAAGCTACTAAGAAAATTCACACACGTCACTATATTTAATTTTCTCTTGAATAAATACATAGCAGTGAAAGGACTGTGACACACAGTAGGTATATATGTCGACACATTACTTTGCAAATTGGTTGTAATCCTTCTGTATTTTGTAAGTCAGCATTGTATAACAGTTACAATCTCTTCACAGTTCTACAACATTTGGTTTAATCTCTTAAGTTGAGCCATTCTAATATGTGCAATATTGTACCTCATTCATATTTAATGTTTTCTAGTTTGTTTGGCGTTAATTTTAATGATACGTGCTTTTGAGTATGTTCAAAGTATTAACTTGCCATTTGTTTTGCAAAATGTTCAAAATTTTGCACATTTTGGAAATTGAATTATTTGTTTTCTTAGAGTTCTTTACATATCCTGGATTCAAGTAACTTATTATATATTTGATTTGACACTATTTTCTTCATTTTGTAGCATGTGTTTTCATTGTCTTAATGGGGCCATTTGAAGAATAGTGGTAATTTTATTCTTATTAAGTCCAAATTGTTTCTTCATAAATCTTGAAAATATTTGGCTTAATCAAAGGCTACAAAAATTTTCTACTTTTCATTGGTAAGCTATAAAAACATTACTATTATGTTAATTATCCATTTTAATTAATTTTGTATAGAGTATAAGGTAAGGATCAAAATTTACTTTTTGAGGCTGGCCAGATAATTCAGCAGATTAAAACGCCTGCTTAGGCAAGCACAGGGTCTGGAGTTTGATCCCTGGCCTGCTGGGCTGGCACTACCCTCAGGACACACTGAGATGGCGACTGTGACTGGGCGTGGTGGCTTGTGCCTATAATCCCAGCACTTGGGAGGCTGAAAACAGGAGGATCACTATGAGTCCCATCTGTGTAGTGAGGCCCTATAGACCCTGTACTGAATACAAAACAATTTTTACTTTTTGCATATGGAAATACAGTTATGTTAATGCTATTTATTTGTTCTTTTCTTTTTTGTGTGGTACCAGGGATTGAACTCAGGACCTTGTGCTTGCCAGGCAGGCACTTATGCTGCTGAGCTGTCTCCCCAGACCTCAAATGCTATTTGTTGAAAATTCTTCTTCGTCCACAGCATTGGTTTTAGATCTTTGTTAACAGGTGTCCATGTACATAGAGATTTAGTTCTGCATTTATTTTGTTCTACTCTTTCTGTCCATCTTTGTGCCAATACAATCCTGTTTCAATTACTTTATTTGTTGACAATATATTCTCTCATTTTCCTCTCACCTTGTAAGAAAAATGGACCGCAGTATAAGCTGCAGGTTCGAGTGGGGAAAGGTGTTTGCAGTGGTGGGCTGCT